AGACCATGATCCCGAATGATCTTCAGATTCCTAGTAATCGCCGTCATCGTCGCCGTAGTCGTAGTCGTATTGAGTCGCAGTGCTAATCGTCGTCGGTGGTGATGGTGGTTCTGGTGGTGGCAGGTGTAGTGGTTGTCATTTTCGGTGGTGTTGCCGGACGAGCAGCAGTGTCAGCCGCAGCAGCATCGTTGATGTTATTGATAGTACTGCCGCTGCTTCTGTTGTTTTGTTGCTATTGAGCTATCGTTATTCTAGTGGCAAGCATGGACAGATCACATCGTGTGCACAAGTACATATAAAATCTCTTGCTGTCCATACAGCGAGTCTTTTCGTTGCCAATGAGCTTGTTGTATTTGTACAAGATGTGTGTATATGTGTATACATATATACATACATAGGACTACACAAGTTATAAAGTAAGCAAATAAACAAACACATTGGTGTCATTAGTATTTATGTAAATTATGTTACTGATGTATCTATACAATGTAATCTGGCACTCCTGACACCCTGACACACCCAACCCGACTCATCTTCTTCCTCCTGTTTCCTTAAGCGTTGACGCAGGGGCGGCAGCCAGGAGGCCAAAAAAGACTCCCCGAGCAACGGCGTGGCTGCAACTCTGGGAGCAAGCACTGTCCTGGCGGCCGCTTATCAGCTAAGCTGACGTGAGTGCGACATTTAACGCCAAAGTGGCAGGTGACTGTTGACTGTACAGCAAGGGACGCAGCAACGCTGCAGAACTCCTACGAGCACCACATTTTCAGCTGGATGATTTTCATGAGCCCATCTTGTTCATGTGAACGGGCCAGATTTCCAAACCCTGTACTTATTGGTGCTGTACGAGAAAAGCTTGTTTGCCACGATGTTGCAACCAGACGAGACTCCTGACATCATCATCCTAAAGACCACGACGGAGCACTTTTGGAAATGGGTATCCCCGATGCGAAGAAAGTCCCAAACCACGGCAGCTGCATCCATCTGCCGAGGGGAACATTTGTTGGGTCGGGGAGAAGCAACGAATCCAGCTTCGTTGTTGTGAAGGGGGGTCCACCATCTCCGAAAATCCGCCTCAGAAGTTCTCATATAGGTTTGACCAAGAGCTTTGGATGGTAAAGCAGAAGTCCCGAGAACTCACTCTGAATCATCTGTGCGGGTAGCAACCTGAGACTAAGATCCCAAGAAATTTAGGCATGGCGTTTGAGTTAAGGGGATTGGCGCTTCGGTTTCAAGCCGCATCAACAATAAGTTCTCAACTGAACCCTTGTCAAAATCCTTAAAGAAAGAACCGAAACCAACAAATAGAATAGAATAGTAAAGCCAGCAAGATCTCAGGCAGGCAAACCCTGAATTGCAAGCCCGAAGAAAGAAACCTGTCCCCTTCAGCTGTAAAGGCTTATGAACGACACATTTTTGAGGTTCGTCGTGCACGTTTGTGTGGCAGTGATCCTCGGAAAGCGCGACGAGCTCCTGGCAACGGACAAGCAGTTTGAGCTGGCCGAGGCATGACCCAGGGTTTAGAGTTTAGGGCTTAGTACTCGTATCTGAACCGGCTATCATTGGCCAGTATCGGGCTATCAAGAGTGCTTTTGGTTCACAGGTGCTTCCGGCTTCCTGGCTTCTGTTGTCAGATTCGGGGCTCTTTGGCTGGAGTTGTGGTTGGACCACAGATTATCGAGCAGCCTGTAAGCTGCACAGCAAGATCTCAAATGAAAGGTAGCATCCACCAAGGTGGAGGAAAAGTTCATGCGCTTGGTGTGTTCGTCTAGAAATGAGACTAGTACTGTGGAACAGTCACTTGTGACTTTCGAGAGGCTTTACGACTGCAGTTTCAGAGTGGAGCCAGACTTTGTCGTCTTAGGATGCTATCAGGACCCTACTGATATACAACGTAGACCGTTCAGGACTTGCTCTTGGGCATGTTTCTGTGGCTTACTTGGACAAGCGTGCCGAGTGAGGCCCACGGACTCCAAAAAGCTTCTTTAACCCAACCCTTAACCCGCAACCCTCCAGCCTGAAAGGGTTGCGTCCTTGCAGGCCCCGGCCTGAGCCACCCTCAAACTGTAGCCACCTCATGAAAGACCATGACTACGGCGCAAGGTCCACAATATCTGGCTACTCTTCATCAAAGGTCGATGTAGGCCCAAACCAACAGCGTTCTGAACTCGAAAGACGATCTCAAACTTGCTGAACCTATGCAAAGCCCAACCTGGAATGTCGTCTCGGACTCAGACAGAGCCCGATTGAACCTAGAACACCGCTTAACCGAGCAACGACACGACCAAGTCCAACACTCCTGCTGCAACTTGAAAAACTACGTCGACTGCACCCTTCGAAAGAAGAAACACTCTTTCGCCCTCCCAGATCATGCAAGCCGGACCGCGCGGGACCGACTTTGAAGCACTGCTCAAAAAGGCCCCGAGCTTGGATCACTAGCAGTATTACTGCCGAGATTCCGAGATTACCACGAGTAGCACTGTTACAAACACGAGTACTACCGGTAACAAGCACTAATACAGCTACTGCTCCCGCTGCCGCCACCACCACCGTCGCCGCCGCCGTCGCCAACACCACCCCCGCCACCACGACGACGACGACTACGACAACAACAACAACTACTACTACTACTACTACTACTACTGCTGCTGCCACTGCCACTACGACGACTACTACTACTACTACTACTACTACTACTACGAATACTGCTACTACTATTACTACTATTACTACTGCCACTACTACGAAGACGACGACGACTACTACTACTGCTGCTGCTGCTGCTGCTGCGGCTGCTGCTGCTGCTGCTGCTGCTGCTGCTGCTGCTGCTGCTGCTGCTGATACTACTGCTACTACTACTACTGCTACTACTACTACTACTACTACTACTACCACTACCACTACCAGTACCACTACTACTACTACTACTACTACTACTACTACTACTACTAGACGTCAGCCTTCGGAACAGCGCCCCATCTGCTCATGGCCAGAGCACATCACTTTGCCTCTTTGCGCTTGCCGCGTTTT